TTCGAACTGTCGAGGAGGAGAATATCGATAAATTAGACAAGAGATATCTCATCTCCCGCACTTATCGCGTTAGCGAGCGATGCTCGCTTTAAGCATCGCCATTTTCCCTTCTTCTTCTTCTTCTTCTTCTTCTTCGTGGTTCTTCTATAAACGAAGATAGAAGCGCAATACACAGAGCCGAGCGCGCGCGCCGAAAGAGACTTGGACATTAATGTTTCTGGAACGCGGATATACGTACACGCGTTTGAACTCACGGAACCCACCGGTTTTCTTATCTTCCTTCTAGAACCGATACCGAGTTAATGACCGTTGTCCGTGCGCGAATTCATTCTCTTTCTCTCTCTCTCTCTCTTCTCAGATTCAGCAGCGGACAATAACCCCCAGCTCGATAAATAATATGGCCTTTTATCCTTTCTTCTTTCTGCATTCCAATTCAACGTTACGATCGATCGAAAACGAGCAAAGTTAGAAATTTCTTTCCTTCTCAATTTCCTGATGGATTTGGGTTATGCACGTTGTGTTCTGTACGTTATATGATATAGAGGGATAAAGAGAGATGATTGTTACGGTTGCACGCACGAGAAGAGATGGGAATCGCCATGACAAAAGCGTCTCTGCTGGGTGGTACCGGTACGTGACACACTTTAAGATTATGCTCTACGTCTCCCTTGTAAAATTTCCAAGACGAAAGTTTGTTCCCTATATCTCGTTGTGTCATTTAACGCGTATATTTGTTTTTTTTTTTCTTTTTTTTTTAACTTGGAAAAGAAAAAGAAAGACAAAAAAAATAAAAGGCGAGAAACATTGAGATGACGAAACGATAGCTATGTTCTTGGTCAAAAGTTCCGTGTTGTGAAAGTCATGAAGTTTTATTATCGCGCATGTCACGGGTTAATCACTCCCATCGATGGTAATTACTGTTACGAGGAAAGAGTAAGAGAGAACGAGATGGCGGATATTTTACGCGAGGGGTGCGATAAAGTGGCGACATGCGAAAAACGCATGCGTTTATTAGTATACGCGTTCACGCGATCACTAGACTAGCACGTGCGTTAAATCTGCCGTAAAGTTACTTTTTTTCCTATCCAAACGTCAGGAGTTTATTCGCATTTATTCTTGCTTATTTTTCTTTGCTTCGTAGTATAACGTTAGTATAATTTGATAGATACTTGGCATGTTCCGACAAAAGCTATCTTTAACGCGTCTCTATAGACTTTATTTTTTTCTTTTTCTTCTTCTCGTTTTTTTTTCTTTTCTTTTTTTTTTTTTTTTTTTTTTTGATCGAATGAATCTTCGAAAGTCGGAATATTGCGTATATGTGTGCTTACTTATGCGATAAGATCTATGGCATATTATGTCGAATGACGTCATTCCCGAGAGAATCATTGCATATTCGTCGAGTTCGAGGGTAGAAGGAGATTTTGATTGGCCGGTCACGTTCGTTCGGATTTTATGGACTCTTAACGGAGATGGGCACTTTGCGAGGAGGCCGGGTCAGTCCTATCTTCTCTTTCTTTTTTCTTTTTTTTTCTTTTTTTTTTTTTTTTTCTTTTTTCCTTTCTTTCTCGTCTTCCTTTATCCCAACAACGATCCGGCATATTCGGCGCCAGTCCAATTTGCGAGCGCTGACCGCGATAAACATTTTTTTTTTACCTTTTCTTCCCCCTCCCCTCCCCCTCCTCCATCCTCTTTCTCTTATCCTTCTTCTTTGCCTTGTCTCAACGGATTGGGATCGTTCGCCATGGTCGACTCTCTTTAAAATTCAAACTCATGAATAATAAAGCATGAATAAAAGAGGGGAAAAAGAAAACCGGACGGATTTGATCGGATCCGTGAAAAAAAATCTGTTCCTTTGTCTTATTTCATTGAGATAATGAAGATTTAATTCGTTTGAATATTTCGTAGAGGTTGGCGTGTAACACTTGAAATGTTTGAAATCGATTTAAGAAGGCAAGATTTATCGTTCGACTGCGCAACAATTTACAAGAGATATAACTCACAATTAGACGATTTCCGATAGTGAGATCGGCAGCCTCGACTTCTCCTCTATCTATCTCTTTCTTCTCGTCTCCCTCTCTTGCTATAAAAGTAACACATTTGTCCCAGTTAGGAACAAGAAAACGTTTCTTTACGAGCATCATTCGCGAGCAAACTATTTATCTTTCTCTCTCTCTCTTTCTTTTACAGGTCTCGCGCAGCAGTACGCCTGATTTTAACCTGCGGAAACATGCGAGGCAAGCATTACACGTTGTGCACCGGTGTAAAGCGAGTTATGCTTATTGTCGTACGTGCGATCTTAATTGAAAGTCCATCTTTCTTTTTCTCTCTCGTACGTGTACTTGTGTAAAGCGCAGCGTCTTCTCGAAGAGAAAAGAGCTAACGGAATAGAATCATCGTTCTGTCTATGCTCGTTATGTCATCGTTTTTACGAGGACTTGAAGAGCTACGACGAGAGAGGAGGAAGGAAGAGGGGAGACACGTGTCGCCTCGTTGAACGACACGTTTCTTTTCTTAGAGAGTCGTTTAGAAGTCGAGAAAGACACAAAGAGAAAGACAGAGATGCAATATCAAAGTTTTACGCATTCAACGATAATGTCTCTTCTCGGATAAGTGCACTCTCGTGCACTCGTTATCCGTGGACACGTTAGATAGAGAGAGAGAAAGAGAGTTTCTTCTCTCGTCTAAACTCCTTCTCTCATTCTCTGTCTATACGCAATTTCGAGGGAGTTCTGATGCGTGTTAAACTAAATTTAAACGGGATTTATACGACGGTTTTCGCGTTTCGTGGCTCGCATCGTTGACGTGTATTATCTTTGAAGATAGAGAGAGAGAAAGAGAGAGAGAGAGAGAGAGAGAGAGAGAGAGAGAGAGAGAGCGCCATTTATCTCGTTCTTGAATCTACACGTAGAGAAAATTAGAGAACGATCTCGACATTGTCGGGTTCTATTCCACCGGTAGAAGCAACACTTTCTTTTTAACCAAAATTTGTTTCTTTTCCCGTCACTTTTCCTTTGTAAATGTTGTAAACGCATGTAATAACAAGAAGAACCGTCGGTCCCACCGCGCGCTAATAATACGGCCGAGCGATGCCAGCGAACGTGTTCGCTTGAATGCGCCCACGCATCGTCGTTTCGTTTCTAGCTTAAATCCCAGGATGATTTTAGTATCCCGACGGTTCTCGATCTAATCGCACGCGTACGAGACGCGATATCGCCTCTAAATCGTTCTCTCCTCTCTATCCCGACTTGAATTCGATTCCCTTTAAGTGTAATAACGACGCGCACACACCCACGAAGGAGATCACAATAGGAGATCATATTTTTCACGTCACCCCGAATCATAATTTATATCATCTCTCGCGACGCGTTATCCTTCTCCTTATGAAGATAACGATAACGGTAACGATAACGAATATCTTTGATCGTGTTTTTTCGTCCTTAATTCTCGATACGCATAATCGTAAACATATCTTTCTTCGTTCATCTTTTGCCCCTTTTATTTCCTTCCCGACGGAGTTCTCTATATAGACCGTCGAGATATTTCCGAAAGTGTAGAAAAGAGAGAGGAGAGATTTTGGCCGATATATAGGGCAATCTTTTTCGAGCTTGCCATTACGGAGAAACCTGCGGAAGATACCCCTGCAGCATCGAAAGCAGGGGTCCCAGCTATTTGCCTGAACGGCTACGTGGACAGGTAGGAATCCCTTTGTGCGTTGGACGGACAAGAAGGAGATTCGAAAAACTGCTACTCCTCTCTTTGCCCGTTCAATCCTTTTCAACGTTTTTTAAGTGCGCTCTCGTCTCCTCAATGGCGAGTCCTTACAAGGACATCCACTTGAAAAGAAAGAGAAGAGAAAAGAACATTTTCTTTACGTATTCTCTTGACGGATGTTGCCGCGTACGTAGGAGTGCATACGCTGAATCCAAAGCGACTCGTTAGAAACGTTTCTAAGGTCTCTTCCGTGGATACGTGCACCTTTTCTCGTGCCAACTCGCGTTCCTTAATTATCTCGCGAGCTCCGACTGCCTCTTATAGTCTCGAAGGTCAAGACCCCCGTAGGTCATGTGAAAATTTTTAATGTCCAATTAGAGATGGGGATAAGATCCAGATCGCTTTGCGAAATTTGCCTATCGAGTCGAATCGATAATACAAAGTGCTTTCGATCGATCGCTTCGACTAGCGTAAATTACGATTGATTAGCGATCAATTAGTGGATTTTTATCAACGAAACAAACGAGGATCGTTCGTTCGCACCTTGATCTTTATTGGCCACTCCGCCGAGGAACGTAAGCGAAGAGACGCATCTTTACGCTTATCGTGCGAGAAAAAGACAGATAGAGTGAGGGAGAGAGAGAGAGAGAGAGAGAGAGAGAGAGAGAGAGGGAGAGAAAGCGGGAGGGGGAGGAGAGAGGGGTAGATTGAAAGGTGAATCATGCAATGCTTCCGAGATTTATCCTCGCGATTTCGTGCGATGATAGTCTTATCTCTCTGAATTTTACGTTTACGATCGCAATGATCGATCGATTTATTATCATACCGATAAATAGAAAGAGTCATAATTCACAATTATTTCATTGATTATGATTTAGATGTTGTTTAATTTCCTGATGATGCGACGAGCACGAAAAACAACCAATATTTTCGATAACGAGCGTTATGACGATTGGCAATCCTTCTACGTTATATAAGAACACTCGCGACGATACGATTACTACACTGGTTCCCGATTTTCTTAGGACTTTAGCACAGACTCGCCGTCTCGTTTTCTTCGCGTGCAATCAGTCAAAAGTATGTCGTAAATCACGGTGAAAGTCTGCGGAGGTTGCTTTTCTGCAAACACACGTGTATGTGCGCGTACACGTATATATGCACACACATATGCGCGCGCGTGTATGTGTATATATATATATATATATGTATATAAGGAGAAGTCGAAATCTCTATTCGTTCGCGTCTCTCTCCATTTTGTTGACGAGAAATTTGTCATTTTTTTGTTACAGCCTGAGCGAATGTTACTTCGCAGGGAAAGGAGCGGCCCTCGTTTTACCACCGAACGAAAGGGCCCGACCCTCGAGGAGAGTATCCGCGGCAGGATGCGATATTCAGCAACACTTGCAGTCCATGTTTTATCTCTTGAGACCCGAGGAAACTCTGAAGATGGTGAGTCTCTTCGAGTCGAGAACGATTCGACCGAGAGAAATTTTCCTAAGCGTGCTTCTTAACCGACGGCGAGATAAACGTGGGAAACATCGATATCTTGAAACACGTTACGATGCAAATATATGTCATCGCCAATTCCGTGAAATTTCGTGAATTTGGCAATGATCGTTCGTTCGTCGTATTTATCACAAAAGATAGAACGTTTGACGCGCGTCGTCCTAAGTACGTGGCACTCTTCGCGATCGAACGATATACTTGCGCAATTCGCGGCTAAAGTTACGGTGTAATTTCGCTAGATATCTTTTATGTCTCTACGCGTATACACGCAGTCTCGACGTGCAATAACGACGACGTTGTTTTCACGAGATCGTAACCGCCACGTGCATCTCATATTCCTCGAGGGGGAAATTGGCAAGCGCGACGGTACGTCTCTTTGGCCGTCGCTCCTGTTTGATACATCGCTGCCGATATCATCGTATATATAGCCTTTCCTCTATAGTCTTTGCATAAGGAATTCAGAAATTATATAGGCCGAATCGTTTGACAATATGTCGCTTGACGTTGCCAAAAGGAAAAAAGAAAGATAGGGGAGTTGCCGGAAGCGACGTAAACACCCGTTAGGTATTCGCGATATAACGATCTTATTCCGAGAAAAGAAGGGATCTTTTCTCAATTTTGTTCGTCGACGCTCTTTGTTCGTCGCCAATACCGATAAATTCCATTCGCGATTGTTTCAAAACGATTTCGAACACGAGCAAGCTCATCGACCTGGAATTTTTCACGTGGGTTCGTCGTCTGTCCGAAGAAGTGGGCTAAAGGCGACTCGTATGTGTGTACGGGTTCGTCGAGGAAGGCGACGCAACGAGGTCGCGGCCGATGAGAAACGAGTACTTCCGTTCGTGCTTCGCGAATAAACATGAGACGTCGACGACGACGATAACCGATTTTCTTTTTTACTAACGACTCCTACACGTCGCATCTTTGGACTTTCGAAAAGAAAAAAAAGAACGGGACGACTGACGACGGAGGAAGAAAGTCCTACTTGCCTGGAGTTGACCTTGACACGAGTTCGTCCCGGTATATACACATATACATGCATATATATATATATATATATATATATATATATATATATACATATGTATGTATGTATATACAGACACGCGCACACATGTACATGTATTCGCGAAATAATGGACGCTTCTCGCGAGTTTAAGCCTCGAGCCATTTGAAGTTTGCCGCCCTACGTGCTTTCTTTTCTTTTGTCCTTCCTTTTTCTTTTTTCTTCTAGCTTTTACTATCGTATCACAGAAATTGTTAGGTAGTTCATCATCCGAGATGGTCGATTGAGCGAGCACTCCACGAGATACGAACGCGAAACTGGTCCCTACAAGGACAACGAGGTAAGGGGGACGTACGATTCGCTACAGGTCGTTTCGACGACTGCTTTTCAGAAGGGGCCCCGTTACTTTTTATGTCTCGCACTTAAACTTACGACTCGAACGTACAACTTGCCCTCAGGCTGTTCCTTTTACGCGTAAAGTGTCAGCGACCTCGAAGACCATTAAACTCGCTTCTTGTTTATCCACTTCCGGTGCATAGTAGTCGTTTCGCTTCGTCTTTCAAAAATTTTCATTAATTTCAAATCAACGATCGTACCTATATATCTTCGTTTTTTTACGATCTTTATGCAATTTCTTTTTTATTTTAGTTAGGCACTTTGTATAGATAGATTTAGCGTCGTTATAAGGAAATAAAATAGATATCTCATCTTTCTGGGACTAAGTCGGTTTCGTCGCCAGAGAAATATAGAGACAGACTTGTACCAACAATCGCGATAAATTATCTTTGCCCACGCGACTTTGCTTTTCCGTGATTTTATAAGGTCGCGATAAAACCGCGTAAACGCGTACCATCTTTCGAGACTTCGAAAAAGAGAAATTGCTTGACCGTGACCCTCGAAATCGAATTAAATTCAACGAAATTACATAAGCGTAAGAAGATGTTCATTTATATCGATCATTTCACTCGTTCGTCGTGTCTTTTCGATTTCAAACGATTTGAGAGTCCAATGAACGCCGCCTAACCGCCTATAGATAGATAGATAGATAGACAGATAGATAGAGATACGTAGTGCGAGAGAGAGAGAGAGAGAGAGAGAGAAATGGAAGGGTAATTTCAATTTCGATGTTCGCCGATCGAAACTAGGCTACCGCGAGGCACTCGAAGGAGATAAAACGAGTTTTACGACTGGCTTCTGGCTACCTTCGTCTCTTTCTCGTACTCTCCGGTTAACCCTCTCCTCCTTCTCTTTTCTTCTCTGTTCCATGCTCGACTTATCGTACGAGAGTACTGAACAGCAAGCCAGTAAAAGAGGCAGGTCGCCTCATGAAAATTCATTTTGCCTCCCTTGCGCCAGCACGCTCGACTTTCGACGAGGAATCGTAGAACGAAAGGAAATTTTGTCCTCCCCTTTGAAATGGCTTTTTGCTCCTTTGAATACTTCGACACGAATTCTAGCTCGGAAAGTTTTTAAATTGAATGATTTTAAGGAGAGCTAGAAGGAACGTTTCTTTGTTCCTCCTTTGTGTCCGTTTGTATTTCAAATACTTCCTCGTGTCGTTCTTCAAACATCCTTTAGCCGGTGAGTCCGAGGTCGAGCAAAGTAGACACGCCGTAAATTTCCTTATCCGTGTAGCGAGCCGACTCCTATTTTATCCTATCTCGTACGCCGGCATTCGGCCAACCGAGTATATCCAGCTTCGGTAACGCATATTCGTGATCCGGGCTCTCTCGTTCGTCGTCGTTGTAGTAGCACCTTTGGAGAAAACGCGTTTCCTCCGTAGGAACCTGTTTTGACCTAAACGCGATGTTAAACGGCCTCCGATACCGAACGCCGACTTGTGGCTCCTCGATATCGAATCGTCTCGATTAATTACGCCGACCGATAAGACTCGCCTTATGGGACCTCCTTATCATCTCTCTGTTTTTCTAATTTTTCAATTCACCTTGTTCCTTTTTTTACTCGGTCGTTTCTTGTCTCTCGTTGAGAGGTAACTTATTCGATTTCGAAATCACGCTGGATTTATCGCAGGAAAGCGTAATTTATGCGTACAGCTTTTGATCCTCGGTAGGAACGAACAAAGTTTATCGGAGCATCGAGACTTCTTCGCTTTTCTTACGACTCCTCCTCCTATCCTCGCGTAGTCGTAAGCACGGTACCGTAAGTTTTAAATGCTTTTTCTTATCTAACGGCCGGATAGCACAAAGTGAACGTTCGCGTTTAACAAGCCGTACAACGCAAACTCGCGCGCACGCGCGCACCCAACCTAGCACCATTTACTCTCTAACACACAAGGCTCGTGTATGGAATACACAGGCAATATTCCGATGGCTTTGCGCCTGTACCTGTTCACCTTCGCTCGAGCAGGATGCCGGGAATTCGCAAACGCACCTCACCGGAGACGTAATCGTTCGCAAATGCGACGGTAAAGTAATGCCAAGCGTTTTCGAGAAACGAGCACCAACGTATTTTCCTATCCATAATAGCTGGCTATTAATCGAATAGGACGTAGACCTTTCTAAAAGTATCGCTTCGAATTTCCTGCAAACTTCGATGTTTGTCCTTTCTCGAACAAAGGATAAAAGAAGAAAAAGAACGCTCTCGAGAGTGTCTCTCTCCTCGTCGTCGAATGTTGCGTTCTAATGTAAGTCGTGGCATACTTTTGTCACGGTGAGGGAAACGTGACGTCGAAAATTGCTGGTGTCCGTTCCATGCTACACGTGACTTTGACAGCCACGTACAGTTTGAGAGAAAGAGACGGTCTCGATGATCACGCATTTCCATCTTTCCGTATTAATCTTTCTTCGTCTTTTCTCCTCTCACGTTCAGTCGCTTACGTAAAGTCCTTAAACAGAACGTTAACGGACGATTCCACGGCAGAAAACGATGTAACCGGTCGACTTACGAGAGAGATTACAACGGTACACGCTCTCCCTTTCCTTTTGTCCCCGTTGCACACCGTACGACGATTTACATGGACGTTACGGTAAATTACAATCGCGCGTTTGGTAGCCGTAGACGCGACGTGTGTAACGTTATGAAACGAGAGCGAAACAGATAAATATACTACATCTACGTGTATGCTGCGTTTACGTACCTCTTATATTCCTGTGTGAGCTCCGTTTCTTTTTCTTTTCTTTTCTTTTCTTTTCTTCTTTTTTTTCTTTTTTCTTTTTTCTTTTTTTTTCTTTCTTTTTCTTTTTTTTCTTTCTCTCCTTCGTCTTTGCCTTTTTTCTTTTCGTTATTTCTTCTTTTCTTTTTTTCTTTTTTTGCTCCTTTCGCGTTTTAGGATCTGTTTTTTGGGAAACTTTCTATCTCCTTGCTAATCCATCACGGTTCGTATAGTCACGGTCGTTCTCGATCATTACGCGGGAGAGATTACGAAAGATTCCCCTTCAGCAATTTCGTTTCCTTTTTACCATTAGCAGGCTCTTGCGTACTACTCCGAGAGATATTACGACAATATATGTATGGTATATCGTATCGAAAGTAATCGGTCATGGTCGACGATGAGTAAAGAAGAAGAAAAATATCATCTTCTTTTTTATTCCTCTTTGTTGTTGTTGTTGTTGTTGTTGTTGTTGTTGTTGTTGTTGTTCTTCGAGGAATGAAAAGATCGAGCGCTCTGGAATATTTCTTTGGGTAGGAGCGGGTAGGAAGAAAAAAAAAAGAAAGGCTATGGATTTCTTCTGACCATTTCGTTTTCACGATTACTCGTGTATGCTAGTGTTTGCTTCCTTTGCGCAACGTAACACCGGGTGTCAAAATATGCGCGAGTTGCGCTTTCGCGTGACATAATCCCGTTGCAAAAAGTGATTGCGATTGCGCGAACAAGTGGTGTGCGTGAGAAAGAGAGAAAAGTATGGAAGATACGATCCAGGACGTGGGATCATGCTGCTTCGTGATTCAGGCTAGCTAACGAGCGAGAGAGAGAGAG